CTCAATTTTTAATGCAAGTTATATCCTGAAAATTCTACCTGTGTGATAGCAATTGGTACCTTTTTCTAAAATTACAGGGCTAAGCTCACCACGTCTTGTGTAAATACTGCAACATTGGACTACTAGTGTATAATTTTTAGTTTTTATTTTAATGAAATATGAACGAATTACAATTTTACATTTTTAGGGAAAAAAAAAAGTTTAACGTAAATAATCCAGAATAGAACTGTTTGAACTACAAAGTCAAATAATCCAAGTCATATTACCAGCTAGACAAGAATGCATGGGATAACTAGCTTAAGCCAAAACAAGGACTAGTCAACGCATAGAACAAACAAACCCTATTCACTTATCCAAGAATCTCACTCCTTTTTCTTACACAAATTTTACCAAAGTTCAAAGGCAAATGGCAGTGATCAGAGAAAGAAGAAGTCCCCCCCAATCTGCTAAGAAATTATTCAAAAACCTTAACAAAATCGGAGCAGAAACAGTGAATCCCATAAGACAAATTTGTCCCATTTTGCAGTTTTTTGGGGATTTTGGAGTATCAATTTTGAATGTTGATCAGTGTCAAAGAAAGGATACGAAATGTCCATTCTTTTGTACGAGAGCCATCATTAAATGCTCACCGAATCCCATTTCTTCTCTTTCTGCCATGGCCCAAATGAAATGAATCAATTTGTTGAAACAAGAGAATATAATATTTAGTGTTGCTATGGGTACATGATTATTCAACATAATTTATACAAAAATTCAAAACACACACATACATACACAGGATGGGTGGTGTGTTTTTTTTCAATATAAAACTCACATGAGCCCCGTCCAATGTGAGTATCCTGTTTTTCTTCTGTATGAATAATCCTGTACGTGCAAAATTATTACAATATTTATTATTAAGATTATTCTAATGTTCCAAAAATCGCAATTTGCCCAAGTCCATTTGCAATCATATAGTGGATTGTGTTGAGTAAAGCGACTCATATTTTGGTAGTTATTGCGGTTGGCATGTTACACCATTTTTATTGACTAGTCAACATGAATTTATGGCCAAAGATTAAATTTGAACAAAAAAATAAATAAATAAAAATTCAAACAAAAGCAATTTTATTATAAATTGAAACAAATTTCTTGATTTGTATAACTTATATTTTCAAGTGTCTCTCGGTGCACCTTGAATTTTTTGAATTGTCAGAAATTTGATGTCTATTTAATTTTCATTAATAGTTAGAGACCACTATTCAGATCATTAATTTCGTAACATAACATGTTTTCAACGTTCAACAATCAAAAAGTCCAAAATTTATTATTATTATTATTATTATTATTATTATTATTATTATTATTATTATTATTATTATTATTATTTTGTAAATTGGCAATATAGCCCCCAACGCAATCCAACTACTCAAGAAACTCAACTTCGTTTATGCCCTTATTATTATTCTTGCATCATTCATTATTATCCCATTTATTATAAAGAAAAATATTTTTGAATAAGAGTATGTTTGATAAGTCAAAATTTTCCCTAGAAAATGAAAAATTAATTTCAACTTTCACTTTTGCATCGTTTGATAGCAATATTTTATTTTATTTTTATTTTATTATTATTATTATTATTTTACCTAGAATTCATTTTCCACTTTTTTTATCACTTAATCTCAATTCCACATTTTCCTTGAATTGGTGAGAATTCCAATTTCGATCACTGAATAAAGTTTTTTTTTTAATTTTTACAATGAAAATAAATTCTAAAAATTATTGTAAAAAAATATCTCCCTTTAATTGACAATTTTTATGTAAAATAAAACCAAACGAATACCAAAAAATAGATCATTTTTTTTGAGTTTTTTTTTTTGGCAATGAAGACAAATTTCATCCCCAATACGATAAATTTTATCCTTTTAATTGATAATTTTCATATAAAACAAAGTCAAATGAGCACCAAAAAATATTTTTATTTCAACGTTTTTCATGTAAAAATTTTTACCAATCAAACACTATAATTTATAATTCTCAAAAAAATAATTTATAGACAATTTAATTATTTGAAATTTATTTTCTTTTCATCCAAATTCTGTTTTCGTAATCAAACGGACCCTAACTTATTTTTGGGAAATAAGTACAAGGCTCACGTCACGCCCTAGAATGAAGGCAACATAAATATCATATCTTAGGGAAACCCTAGAAATCTCCGCCGTCAAAAATCCTTCATTTGTTCCATCAAATTTAATGAAGGGCTATAATTAGATACTCTAAATTCCTGTTTTCATCATTACCTACACCCCTTTTGTACCAAATCTGTGAAATAAAAACACTCCATAACCCATACCATTTCTGTCGTGAGGCAAAACACGGAAAAGAGCATAAGGCTGTGTTTAGTGGGAGGAAAATAATTTCTTTCATTTTCTAAGGAGAACGATATTTATTTCGATCATATTCAAATATTAATTTCAACCATAAATTCATAATTTTTAAAGGCCCGTTTGGTAGGAATTTTGAGAATTGATTTTTTGATCGTTAGAAGAAAAGTGGGGTCCACATGTGAGAGAAGAAATCAAAAATTACGGCTTGAATAGTAAAATAGCGGTCAAAAAATCAATTTTTTGGGACAAAAAATCCCTACCAAACGGGGCCTTAAGTCTTTGTTTGAGTTTCATTTTTTTTACAAAAATAATTTTTTGAATAGTGTATTGATGAAAAATATATGGTTAAAAAATAAAAAAAAATTTGAATTTACATTTAATATTATTTTATTAAAAAATGTATGATTGAAATAATTCAAAACACTATTTAAGAATATATATATATATATATATTTTTTTTATAAAGAACGTGGCTCAAATAGGAGCTAAGTATCATTATCTACAAATATCATGGGGCACTCTATTTTTTATTTTTTTCCTATAAACAATTTATAAACTTATCAAAAAAAGATTAAGATGTTAATTTGTCCATCGATACATCCAACATATAGTGCTTGACATCCCAATTGTTGTTGTCTCAACTACTTAAGCATCTTTACAACAATTATTCTCTATATGTGACATCTTGAGGCGTATTAAAATATTTCTATTTACTATCTCGTTTACTCATTTATTTTTAAAATACAATTTAAATTTTAAATATAAAAATAAGAATAAAGAAGAAAAATATGATCCACGCCTCAATTTCCTTGCGGAATGAGGAATGCTTGCCTATGTTTGGTATAGATGAAAATGAGATTTTTAATAAATTTTGATAAAAATTGATGAATAAAATTTTTCATTAATCATTTAACTTGATTATGATCGCAATTTACTTATTGAACTTTAAATGCTTTCCAATAATTACTTGTCTTTTAGAAGTTGTACATCATTCATCACCGACCAAATTCCGCAACTCTAAATACTCACTTGTTAAATGGAAAATTCACATGGAAAGTGACGATCGTTTAAAATATGACAACTCATATTAACAATCCAACTCGAAAAAAATAGGTTTTGAAAAAAGAAAGGTTTTAGAACTCCCAAACATGACTTTACGCCCCAATTTCAAAATCCCCCGAAATCAATCCAATCCCAAAATAAAACCTTAAGCCCCAAACTAGTTCGCCTTTTCTCCTCGATCTTCGCAAATACATGTGCCAATTATTGAGGACGAGATGCCATCGAGCTCCGACTAGATTGAGGAAGGCGTTGTTATTGTGGTTATTTCACATCGATCAAGATTTCTTGGACAAAGGATAAGCCTTGATGGCGATTTTGCAACTGACACTTCTATAGGAAGAGAGAGATGAATGCAATTTTGTTTTTCGAAGTATGCAATGCTTGTCTTTCTCCAAGAAGTATTGATCGATATGCAATGACCACAATAGCAGCGCTTCCTCAATCTGGTCCAATCTCACTAACTTCTCTTCCTCGATAATTGACACCTGTACTTGGGTAGATTGAGGTAAAAAGTCAAATTTGGGGCTTAGGGTTCATCTGGAGGTTGAATCGATTTTAGGGGATACAAAATTGGGGCTTAAAGCCGTGTTTGGGGGTTTTGAAGCCATTTTTCCCTCCAGTACCCATTAGTTGAGCTGAATGATTGATATGATTTGTTACGTTTTAAATGATCATCACCTTCCATGTAGGTTTCCCATCTAACAAGTGAGTGCTGATAGTAACGAGATTTGATTGGTGATAGATGACGTGCAACGTCCGAAAGATATGTGACCATTAGAAAGTATTTTGAAGTTCATTGAGGCAGTTGTGACCATGATGAAGTTAAGTGATTAATGAAACATTTTACTCAAAATCTATAAAATGCGTAATAGAAAAGTTACGAATTTTATAAAATGTATGGTTATAATTAATTGTTGAATTTTGTTTAAATTTTTATCCAAATGTTAGTCCATTCCAAACTTGGGCTAGGTGCTTACATTTTTTTTACCTCTCTACATTATTATGCAAAATCACTTGGTTGAAAGATAAATGTAATTTAATTATTTCAAAATATTTTAATTCATTTTCCATCACATATTTTTGTAATGAAATATTTTGTACTTAAATCTAAAATATTTTTCAACTTTTTAATTATATATTCTTCACGAATTTTTATTCTAAAACTCATTTTTATTGAATAATAATGGTAGACAAATAGGAGTTCAAGTATACAGCCATCTAGAAACTCTATGGACTTATTTGATTTTCAATTTTTTCTCTAATATTTTTAATTACACATTTTTCAATAAAATAATATTAAATACAAATTTAAAATTTTTCTTATTACACATTATTCATCAAATCACCATTTTAAAGTGCATTTTATGCAAAAAAGAAAAAAAAAAAAAAAAAAAAGAAAGGGGGAGAAAAAAAAAAAAAAAAAAAAAAAAAAAAGGAAAGGGGAGAGAAAGAAAAAAACTAGAAAAAAGAAAAAAAGGGGCCACTATCCGATAGTCACGAAAATATCTATAAAATGGACTCTGCAGCTGCTGCTCGATGTTCATTTTGATTTGCTCTTATCATTCGACGAGCATGACTTCCAAATCCTTGAATCCAAAAGCTGAAGAATGGAAGCCACCGCTATCCCAGCTTTCAGCTCCACTTCAACCGCTGCAACTGGTGACCTGCACTGCAGCTCAACTCCCTAAACAATCAAGTTATCACGCGATCGTACCCTCGCCGCCTCAACCTTTTTATCAGCCTCCTTTTATTTCTTTTATGCCGAATCATTATTGGTATTTTATCTATAGTCCCACGACCATATCAGTTGATCAAACTCACGATGTATACTATGAAGAAAATTTGAAGAGTCACTGCATTACAGGGGGGAAAGTTTTGGAGAGTTCTTGGAGAAGTCCAAAATACTCCTTGAAGTGTTTGCCTCCCAGATTTTTAATTGCTAGAAGGGCCTGTAATATGGAAAATAAGAAGAAGAAGAAGAAGAAGAATTTTGGCAGACAAGAATGGAGGCGTAGAAAGAATCACAAAAATTTTGAAAATGGGGTTGTCGTTTCATCTACTGAAGAAAACTTTTCACTTTCTGGAAAAACTACGGTGATGATCAAGAACATACCTAATCAGTTAAGGTACAGTATATATTTTCTTAATTTTATGAACTTTGCTATGTGTTTGGTCTTCTTTCTCTTTTTTTTTTTTCCATACAAATGAACCACTATTCCAGCTTAATTGCTTTGAACTGTGGACGATATAAAATATAGAATGCTATAATAATATGGAATACTATCAACAAAAGTATTTGAGTTACGAGTTATCGAAAAATGCGAGCCGCTGAGCCACTTTATTCTCGTTTCTCGGAGCAAGTGACAAGGGCCACCACCAACCTCCCGGAATAGAGCTACAATATCTCCCAAAATATATAATTGTTGAATTCTTGTTTATCTTGAATAGGCATTTTTTTATGTATGAAAATGAGAACTTTTTACCCTTTTGCATGCGAAGTTCAGGGTGATTATTTGATCTTTGCTCTGATTTTTTTTTTCCTTTGTTTTTCTCGTGCATTTAATTTACTAGTCACCAGTAATGATTCTTTCACGATTAATTGTTTACCCCATATCTGATGTGCGACTGTAAGAAGAGTTCCACTGTTAGTCTTTCTCTGACCCTTGTTATCTAGCAACTGGATAGGCATATAAAAGGAAATTTTGGCTTTTTTGTCTATTTATTTAATTTAATATAATTTTTTTTTTCAGTTAAGTCTGCATTAAACGCCTCTGTAATCCAGCATTTATGATTACTTGTCATTAAAAATGCTCCTAGTGAATTCTAGTCACATTTTGTGAGTATATGCTGAAAGGGGTTATAGACTACATTATGAACCGAACTTGTAGGTTTTTCACACTTATAGGGTCTTTTGAGGACATTTCTAAGTAAAAATGCATTTTTGAATAGTAAATTGATGGGAAATATGTGGTTGAAAAATAAGGAAATTTTTTTGATTTACGTGTTATATTATTTTAATAAACAATGGTTGAAAAAAAGAAAGAAAATATATTTTGAAAAAAATTGGTGTCAAACAGGACCTTATAACGACTGTTGGATGCTAGCATTTTTATTTTATTAATTTAGTCAGGGTGGACATAATGTCTAACTTGAAGTAAAGGTGAAAATGGAAGACTATTTTGATACAAGAAAAAGTTCGGTTCCTTTATAAAACCTTACTTTTTCCGTAACTTCTCACCGTCTTTTAGCTCTACATTTAAAAAAAAAAATGTCACTTTTCAAAAAAATAATTCCACACAAGCACTAATGGAATCTTGCGAATTTGTTGCTATCTGCTGAACATTAGTTGTGCTTCATGGCGCTGTTCTAATTCTAATGTTTTTGTTGTAACAAATATCAGGAGAGACGATGTGCTGAAGTTTCTTGATAAGCATTGTCAGATGTACGCTTCGACGTATGATTTTTTCTACTTGCCAATGGATTTCAGGTAATATCTTACTCATTAAAGCCTGATGCTTAAGCTAAATCATGTTCACAATACTCTGATCATATACTATTTTGTTAATCTGAATCTACAGAAGCAAAGACAACCTAGGATATGCCTTTGCTAACTTCACAAATGCTGTTGGTGCTATAAAGATCACAGAGATTCTGCGAAACTACCAATGGGGAAACATTCAGACTTGTAAAGGGACCTTCGTTTCCAAGAAAATATGTGAAGTTACTTGGGCTAGAATCCAAGTAAATTCTTTTTCAAGGGCATCTCTTTCCTCAATTCCCTTTTGATGTAGTTGATATACATCTGCTTTTATTGTTATTTTGAATCTTGGTTATCTGCTTATTTCCAGGGCAAGAAAGATCTGGTGGCAAGATTTGAGCATTCGAATTTCAGATGTGATCAACTGGATTTCTTGCCTGTGGTTTTCGATCCTCCTCGCAATGGTTCTGAACCTAGTTCGGTAGAAATTGTTGTCGGTAGATTGCAGCCCAGGTCATTGTGCAAGATGAAATCATATGAAGAACTGTTTAATGAAATCATATGATGCCTCAGGCTCCAATTCCATTTAAGTCACAACTCACATCATGGTTTGAGTAGATAAAAAACCTTCCCACTATAGATTTCCTCTCTCTCGGATTTGTTCTTTTTCTAGGGTTGAGAGTCTCTAGGGACATGGCTATCTTCGAAAGTAGTTTGTTGTTGTACATTTATGATTAGGGCGATAACTCTGAAATCTGATCAAGATATTTTGAGTAACAGTGTGGTGTGGGATTTAGGCAGAAGATGGATCGACCTGTGTTTTCACTCTCCCTAGGGTTTATACAAAATCTGGGGTGAAATTGAAACATGGGTTTATAAAGTTATTTTGTTGCAATTTGAACTTTGGTTTATGTATGATCCTTTATGCACCAACTCAAATTAATCCATCAAGAGTGTTGTAATGTCTTTTACGTTATCTCAAGTGAGTGTTGATTGAGTTCTGTTACATATGGTCATAAATTACATAATGCATTAATTGAATTAAATGTCTACAATAATTGAGTTCTTTTACGAAAGATTTCTCCTATGTTCATGTTAGAGTTTGAATAACGGGGACGGTGACTTTTCAAAACTTTTCTAATACCATCTCCATGTCCGGTGTCTAATTTGTCAATACAATCTTTGTGCCTTCAACATGACGATTAAATGCTATTTATTTTGCTATATAAATTTCATAATAATCTCTTATAAAAATTGCAGATGGAACTACAAATTAATCGTAAACAAACAAGACGATGGAAGTGTAAGAATTTTTATATATTTTTAAAAAAATATTCAAAGGTCTAGGTAATGTGTTTTATTCATGATATAATAAAGTAACGTACAATAAACTTGTAATGATCAAGCAATTTCTTTAGGCGCTTCAGTCAACAATTTTCTACGGACGCTGCATCACGTGATGATTACGAAGAAAGTCCCATAAATCATTTATGCAAGGAAACCAAAAATTATACATGCAAGGGATACCGAATCCGAACGCTGGTTGGCCGGAGGGAGCCCTGCCTCCTCCGCCTTCGCCCCCACCTGTACCTGTACCTGCACCTGCACCTCCACCTCCACCTTCACCGCCGTTGCCACTGTATCCAAAGCTACCACCGGCACTGTTGCCCCCAGGAGAAGTGGAGCCACTCCAACCATATCCGAAACTTTTGTCACCTTGCTGCCCAGGTTGACTTGATCCTGATCCAAAACCAAAAGTGTTGCCATTGCGGTCTGAGCCTGTACCCCACTGATAATCCCATTTTCCATCGGGACCCGACTTGCGTCCGGAATTGAAGTGCCACCCGTCATTTTGGGCTGATCCACCACTCTTATCAGTAGCTTGATCAGCCATGGTTATGTATAATGTTTTAAGTTTGGACTGGTAACAAAAAGTGGGAGATATAAGAATGAAAAGTAGAACTCTCAACCACCCCACTAGATATTTGTCTATCTTACTTACCATTTTCTTCGCAAATTTGGTGATGAACTTTTAATTGAGAGGAGGGTGTGAAAAGGATACCATCGTGCAGAAGCATATATAATAAAACTTTAATTAATTGTACACAAACGGTCCTATATTAATGAGCTCGTTCTTAATTGCTATCGTTAATGTTCTGCCGTTTCTTGAAGTTTAGTTTAGGAGACCATCCAAAGAATAATAAACTGAGCTCTTCCGCGAGAAATTAAATTAATTTAATTTAAGAAACTCCTACATTTATATTCTTGGGGTAAAATACACGAGTAAAAAATAGGTTTCTAGTCTACATTCTAGAAAGAGATATCTACACGTTGATTTATTACTTTAGTAGACTAAATAAATTATCTTGAATTTACCGCTTTCCATTGAATGTTACTCATCAAATCTTAAGCTAACATAAACATTGACCAAATTGGGGACAAAAACACAATTTATTTAGAATTTGTTGAATTTCTCATCAAAACTCAAGTGACAAAAAAAAAAAAAAAAACTAGAGAGAGAGAGAGAGAATGAAAAAAAGAAAAAGAAAAGCACTCAAATAAGAGGACGTGGACACAACCAAAAACGGAGAGTCAAATATTGTAACGGGAACTTTTTGTTGGAGGTCGCTTAAGTTACAAGTTTATTTCATGTTCGTCACTCATTTTTTATTTATTTTAATTGACGCATTTAGTTTTTTATTTTTATTTCAATTTGACCCCTTCATCTACAAATGAGACAAAACTAATTACTAGTTCCAAGTGGTTGATAGAATGAATGAATTGAGACTAGTTAGCCAAACAAATGTACAAATGACTGTTACGATATAAATTTATGATTCATATTTAAATTACTTTTTCTTGTTGGAAAAAAAATATTTATATAATGTCAAATAAAAGTCAACGCACTCATTTTTCATAGGTACACGAAATTGGATGTTAATTTTGGTCTCGACTGCCGATCGCTCATTCTTTTAAACATGTGGAATTTTATATCAGTTTCGTCAAAACTAATGAATAGTTCCATGCTATTGACAAAACGAATGGCATGACAATGAATCAACATTTTTTTGAACAAATTAACATAGGATTGCACATAAAAAAATTTAATATCTATGCGAATTAATGCCTTGAAATAAATTAAATATTTCTGCATCTTCTTCTTCAATTTCAGCAGAAGAAGTAAGTGCAGATGGTACCCGACTAATATTGGTACCCATTCGATTCGCGTATAATTCATACATTTCACATAATGTTTACTTTAAATTTTTATATGTGATAGGTGTATCAAATGTTAAGGCGTTCGAAATTTGATCAATTATATATTTAATTCCCGATAAATTATATCGGGGGTCCATCACGCATGCCAAAAGAAATAACATAGACAAATCTTTCCAATATTTTCTAAATTTTAACTCCATAGCAATTATAATTTCACTAAAATCAAGGTCATTTTTGTATTTATGAAATGTTCTTGTAATTATATAAAGACGTTCAAGCACCATACAACTGGTGGGATAGTAAACGCCCGATAAAATCTTAATGGTTTCATAAAAAGATATAAAAAATCTTTTAACTTTCAAAATTATTTGCCAATCACGTTCAGTCAACATACCCTCGTCATCATTTCTAACATGTCTATTGTTATAAAAGTCAGTTATTAAATGTTCAAAACATTCACATGATTTTAATAACAAGTAAGTAGAGTTCCACCTATGACCTACGTCGCTAACAAATGTTTTAGCATTTTGCACTCTTATTTCGATACAATAATCCTCAAATACTTGTTTTCTATTTGGGGAGATTGTGATATATATTAGTGCGTTCCTAATATTTTGAAATTCATCCTTTATATATTTTAAACCATCTTGGACAATTAAATTCAAAATATGACATACACAACGAATATGAAACAAATACCCACCAAAATCAGGTTGCAGTACTCTATGCAATTTATCGGCAACTAATTTATTAACACTAGCATTATCGAAAGTAAATGAATGAATTTTACCTTCGCACTGATGTTCTCTAACAATATTAATAATAGCATTAAATATATTATTAGCGTTGTGAGGAAACTCAATAATTCTAAAAACAATAATTTTTTTATGCATGCACCAAAGTAGGTCTATATAATTTGCAGTTGCAGCTATATATGCTCTTTTATTAATCTCTTCCCATATATCCGAAGTTAAAGGTATGACACCCCTATATTTTTGCAAATCCATAATTAATTGTTGTTTTGTTTCAGTAAAATATTGTATTGTATCAGAACGAAGAGTGTTTCGACTTACTCCAACGTACCTTGACTGCAGATATTCTTTTACATACGAGACGTAGTGTTGGTTGTCAATTAATGCTAAAGGCAACTCAGCACCAGCAACAAGTTTCACCATTCCGGTTCGAGCTCTTTCCTTCGAATACACCCATGTGGATAGGGGTGCAACAGAACCACCGACGTCTGGTTTTCCAAATTGCAATTGTGTTTGATAACTTGAAATAAGTCCGTGTTTGGTCGCACATACTTTGTAATGACGGTTGAGATGGGTGGTACCAATTCATCTTCGCCATGCCAATCTTTGTTGGCAATATTTACATACTACTTTGGATTCTAGGACTCCATTGACGATTTTTCTCGTTGAAATCAACTTAAAGTGATCCCAACATTTTGCTTATTTTTTCCCCTTTTGCTTTCCCCTCGCATCAGAAATGTTTAATTCGGCCTCTTCTTCTTGATCGTGTTCCGCTTCGGGAACGTCAACATTATCCAAATTAATTGGATAATTTGGATTGTCGCTTACATGATGATGAAAATCCAAATCTAGAATATCTTCAGGTAGGGGTACATCATTTAAACCTTCAAGTTGATTCCGAAATTGACTTTGCGGTGTCATAGGTGATTCGTTTCCTCCTACACCGAACAAGTTTTCAATAAATGAGCGTGGATCCATTTGTTTAATTGTAATAAGTAATAACTAGTAAAAAAATAATTGTATAAATGTAGTGAGAAATGAAAATTGAATGAAATTTCAATAAATATAGTGAGAACTGAGAAATGAGAATTGAATATTGTATATAAAAATTGTACAACTATCAACACAATAAAAGAGAGTTGAGAGAAAGATAATTGAGAGTTGAGAGTGAATTGTAGAAAATTTTGTAGATAAATGCCACTATTTATAGAAGAAGAAGAGGGACGAAAAAAAATAAAAATTAAAATTAAAATTGAAGGACCGAAACGGTCACTTTTTAAACGAGCCGAGCGGGCTCGACTCGCCCACCGAACTGGCCCGCTCGGCTCGCGCTCGAGCTCGTGTTTTTACGAGCCTGAGCCGCCCACGAGCTCCGTTTTCGCGAGCCACTCGACCCATTTGACACCCCTACATATTCATGCGTGACACTTACCATGTCATGTCTAACTACATTCCTCGGACACTCTACGACATGTATCTCACAAGCATCGGTGGATCCAGCACCCGGCGAGGGAGCGCGGCCGCGCGTGCTGAACTCCATCGGAACGTGGAAGGAAGAAGGTGACCGGCGAACAAGATTTGGGTTTTTTTTTTTTATTTTTACTATTTTTTTTTCTAGTTTGGCCTTTTTGTTTGGGCTTATCCAGGCTGTTGGTAGAGGTGGGTGCGGATCGGTTCAGTTCAATTCTAAAGAGAACCGGATCGAACCAAAATTTTCGAATATCTAGTAAATGGAACCGTCGGGTCCAAATATAATTATAGAATCGTTCGGGTTCGGATCAATTCGGTTCCGTACTATAATTAATTTTTTTAATATTTATAACAACGTTATCTAAATACAACTAATGACACATTCAATGGTTTTGGAATGTCAGAGATTAGTAGACTACCTTATTCAAATGATTGCTACGATCAAAGTTTCGATCGGCGGAGGTCACAGCTTCGATCAGAGGTCACAGCGTCGGTCGGCGATTGTACAGGTTTTGAAATGTTAACGAGGCTGCGAGAGTGAGTAAGAGAGTCGAGACAGCGTTATGCACTTTAGTGTAGGTTTTTGGGGTCATTTATTGGGTTGGATCTTGTTGGGCTAAGAAATGAAACAATAAAATGGGTAATTGGACTAAAAATTAAAAAATTAGAAATGAAACAAATTATTGGGCAAAAAATTTGGATTTAAAAATTGTTAATTTGTTTAGAAAAAATTAAAATTAAAATAATTTGATTTATTCAATATAAAAAAAAAAGATTCGGTTCTTATTCGATTCGTCAGCTCTTGGTCTAGAACTGAGAATTGAACCGTACCCGTCGGTTCTCAATTCAGATACCCGTTCGGGTATTTAATTTGACAAGAACCGTCGAGTTTGGTTCGGTTCGGTTCGAGAGATTTGCCTAACCCTAGCTGTGGGCCTTTTTTATTAACGGAGCTGGCCCAATCCAAATTATCCATTGATTTCATCCATGTTCCAACTATACGCCTGATGCTTCCACCAACTACAGCCTGCCGTGCTGTCGACAGACCCCGAAATGGACGGTCTCCGTGGGCAGTGAGCTGTGAGCGCCTTTCTCCTTCAATATTCTATTGTTCTCTTTTTTTTTTTTTCTTTTTCTTTTTAAATCTATTTTTGGTTTTGGTGTAATTTTTTAGTTATGGCTTATGAATCATGATTTATGTTCTGATTTAATTGGTAATTTAGCATTAAAATGAGGATTGTGAATCGGTGATTTGGGATAAATAATTTATGTTGTACAAGTCATTGACTCATGAGTTATAATTTATCATTTGAGTCTTGATTCGTGATTTGAGAATTTATGTTTAAGAAATTAGGATAAGTGAAAAAAAAATAAAAATTGAAAAGATGTTGGGCTCACTTTAACCATGTGAGCTTTGTTTTTTAATAAATTCTAATTGAAAAATAGATTGGGACATTTTGCAAATTATGAAACAATTTTTTTTCAATCGAAACTAAAGTTGATACCTATTTAATTATATTGTATTATGTATTTCTTTAGTATTATGGATTGTATTAAATTATATTCTCATATGTATATAATTTTTACGTTTTAGTTCGTTTACAAATATATATTAAATATTTTTTAATTAAATATTAAAAAACGACCTCGTTATTACGATATTTGATTGTCAACCATCAATGATTTGCCCTAGTTGAACTTATATCCTAAATTTGCCCCTGCTCACAAGCCACGTGCTTTGTCCAGTTTTTTATATGTTTTTAAATTTCTGACACTCGATGGATACTTTGGATACACCTCTCAAACAAGTGTCCAATTTGCCATTTGTTCGTCTCCTGCTTATTTGAAAAATCACTTTGTCAGCATGTCCATGTCATGTCATTCCTTCTCTCTATTAAATTTGAAAGTGGGAAACAAATTAATTTTTTAAGTGAACATTTCCACAAAATTATATTGCGAAGGTGTGTCCAAATAATCTGTTATGTTAACACTTGATTTCATCTCAAGAAACGAACATACTTGGAACTTGGGTCTTGTTGATGGGTCAAAAGAAAGGTAGCAATCACAGCCACAAAATGAGGGTTTGAAAGACCAGAACTTCATACGTGTAAGAGCATTGAAGGCCTTGGTGAGAATTATTTGTGAATAGATCATCGTGTCTAACAAGACGACTTGCAATACCATGTACAATTCATGAATGATGCATTGATAATTGACACATTCAGTGTTTGGTATGGATGCTACCGTAAGTACCAAGAACATCATTTCAGAAGTTTTGGCCAAAGTTCGGGTTGTATATTTGCCAACTCTAACTAGCAATTCTCGAACTTCTAATGGAATACCTATTGTACATGCAGAAATATGGTTATAGGAACAGGACAAAGCGCCTCTTATTCGTAATCATAAGGAATGAGTAGGAGAAGTCTGAAATGAGAAGGAACGAACATGGTTATTTTTCTTTCCCATATTTTTATTATTAGCAGAAAAAAATAGGTAAATTTTTGCTTCCAATAACATTTAAAATTTTGGAAACTAATTTTAAGAACCAAACATGCAAACAAGTTTGCCAAATGCCGTATGCTACTTTTATTTTTCTATGAATGAATAGGAAAAGCAAAAGGCAAGTAATGGTTGAGAGTATACCCTATGGGCTAAGATTTTGATCCCCTCATTTCAACGCCACCGCTGACTCCACATTTTGCACCTTCTACGATCCATTCAACCGGCGAGTGTGCTTTGATGAAACCATTCTTTGGGACCCAAATTCATGTGGACTTTTAGCCTCAGCGTGGATATTATATGTAGTATATTCCCTTGCCAATTGGTAATTGAATTTTGATTGTTGGCTGGGTCTCTTGAATATGTTAAATGTTTTAAGGCACATTTAAGCTAGACTTTTCTCTTTGACTTGTAATTGACTAGTAACTTATTCCTTGATTTATATTCTGAAGTAGTTATCCAATATGGGTTGTGCTTATTTTTTAGTTTTTGCAAATCAAAATATACCATTTCAGTCCTCCATTCTTAAATTTTGTAAACATGTATTTTACATTAATAGCATTAAAATTCACAAGGGTAAAATAATTTCTCTTGTTTTATGTTAATCATCTTTTTGTAGTTAAAAACAGAAAGAAAATAAAGTCCTGCGCATAATTTAATATTATAGCAAAATAATTATGAACAAATGGTCTTGAGAGAACAAGGCCTTGAGAAAAGAGAATTTTTTTGTTTGGGGTATAATGTATAAAATTACTTTTACCTGAAGGATAGAGATTTTGATCATCAAAAAATCTGATTAGATTTTCTGTTTATATATTGTGGGATTTGCTTGAGGATAGAATTTCGTTTCATGTGCACCTTTTCAGTTCTTGTATATTTGTTACTATACCCACAAGAATGTTGTTTGTTTTTTCTCTGGAAATAAGATTTTTGCTTATTTCAATCTTTAACATCTTTATAAGATAATATTCAAATTCGAACTTAAATATGCTTAAATAAGATTAATTTTCTTGAATGTCTCTTTCAATGCAGTAAATGGTGCAATTAATTGGTTCCTTTTTAAGCTTTCTTTGATGTTTCGTGAAACTGTTTAGACTATGCATAAATGTGACTGACAATCTTCTTTTCGTTGTAGCTGATTGGCACCCCATCTGAGGCTGAGTTGGAGTTTTTAAATGAAGCGAAAATATATATCCGGCAACTTCCTCGATATGCCCGACAAAGATTCGCTGAAAAGTTTCCACGTGTGGACCCTCTTGCTGTTGATCTTATTGAAAAGATGTTAACATTTGATCCTAGAAAAAGGATTACTGGTGATAAAGTAAGTTTTTAACTTACTGGGTTGTTTGAGCCCATTTTTCTAGGAAAATGTATTTTGATATAGTTTATAATGGAGAATGTGTTGTTAAAAAATGATGAAAAGTTATGAATTTACGTGTAATATTATTTTATTGAAAAATGTGTGGTTGAAATTATATCAAATCACGGTTGAAGAATGTATTTTGATAAAAAAAATTGGAATCAAACAAGGGCTACAAGCTTTTTTGAGATTGTTCATAAGTACATTAAATTATAAATTGATAGAAATGAGTGGTTGATAAGTGTGTAATAATTGTGGACTAAAATGAAAGTTTGACCAACTTGATTTATTTATTAAGAAAATCCACATATGCACTCAATAGAAAAGTGACTTTTAGGCTCATGCAGACATTCTTACAATTCCTCATAGTTGAATGTCCCATATCTGCATCCAGTTGCTTGATTCACGTGTGAAACCTCCAAAATCTTTGTTTTTCTTCAAATAAAATTAAAATCCAGCAAACACACAGTGCTAATTATCTCATTGGTGGTCAATCAATCAAATAATATAAAAGGATTTAGCTAGCTAACCCGACTTTTTATCTCAGGATTTAAATCATAAAATCAAATCTATGCACAGTTTCAAAATCACAATACAGAAATTAAATTCTACTTTTCCAAATATAAATTTGATGTGTGTGTGTGTGGAGAATTAAGCATAGTATCATGAATTCACAAGTAGTTTCAATTTCCAGTCCTCAATTGTGAAATATGTCATTTCATCGTTCGTAAGACTCACATTCTCCCAAACTTATACTTTTCGTTATTTTCAACTGTATGATCTAAGGTTGAATTTTTATACTATCCTCACATCTCTAGTTTGGGTAAATCTCACTAATTGCAAGTCGATTTATCAATAAATAAAGATTCTCCATAATTTAATTGCTTCAATCTCCAGAACTCAACCAGGCTAATAATCTTTTATCAAAAGTCAATTTTTTTAAATAAGTGTTTGAGACTTAATCAAGGCATCCAGTGCGTCTTCTGTTTCATGCACCAATTTTTTCTCTCTCTTTTTTTATTTTTAGTTTTTATTTCAACATTTTTTTTCAGCATTCTCTCCCTTATGCTTTCTAAATGACTCCTTTAGCGAAATTTAGGCCGATGACTCCTAAGTCAGTTGACTTTAGGGCATCAGGTTTTAACACCCTTACAGGCTTAATAATTCAAGTCATAAAGGCTACGAAGAGAAATTTTCAAATAAAAAATATTTTTTTTATACATTAATTAGTACAATATTCCTTATTAAACACCCATCCAAGTAAACCAACTTCTAACTTGAGACTTTTACCCAATTTCATCCTATTGACCTTGAACAATTCACACAAGATTTTTTTATTATTATTTTTAGTTTCACACTTGGAATCCCCATTTATCTCAAAATCTTCCTACAACAATGAAATCCTCCAAACTATTCTAAATTTGGTCTAAGGATGTAAAATATAATCGTTTTGGGTTTAGCATCTATGGTCCGCTATTTCAACCTATCCAATTATGAAATCAACTCATTCTTACACAATGCTTAACTTAATTTATGTGCTCAATATATATCAACTTCACATGGAAAAGCAAAAATTAACTTAAGTATGCAACCTATTCACCATTCATAGATCAATTCATAATTCAATATATACATTATTACCAGTCAGGCTAACTAACTCACACAAGCACACAAAAAGAAAATAGTTTTGAAAATTTTCAAATTTTTTTTCTTTTACATTTTTGTATTTTTTTTAATATTTAAAACAATAAAACATACACAAAGACACAAAACAAATGAAAACTCACGTTTTTCACCTCCAAACTTAAATTAGACATTGTCCTCAATATCTTAAATCCTATGTCCACATATAAGGGGTGGGGGAGAAAATGAAAAAAAAAAGAAAAAGAAAAAAGACTCCCTTGATATGACGATGAAATTCAATGGCTAGCTTTTCCTTGTCTCCCATTGTTTCCTTGGTAATGGTTGGTTCAAGTGTTTCACGACGTCATGTTCCTGCACAATACGGATAAATAAAGCATTAAGATACAAAAGATCTGGAACAAGTGTTATTTGGCTCAAACATCAATAAACCAACAAGTAACCTAAGAAAAAATGGGATATGGATGATAATTCCCTAATTAAAACCATAAAAATAAACTAAATTATCTTATAAGTAGAAAGCAAAATAAATAAAAATGATAGAAAGATTGGGTTGCCTTTCAACAAGCGTTTATTTATAGTCTTTAGCTTGACTTTATTGTTTCGGCATCATGGAATTTTGAAGAACGCTTTTGATGCCTTGCTTAGTTTGTCCCTTTTGATTTTTCTCCACTCTTCGTTGTTTCTACAAATTTTAGCACTGTCCCTTCCAATATTATATGACATGCTTATCTCATCTGATTTAAGTTCAACTACGTATAATTTTTCCTTCTCTTCGAATTTAATTACAAATTCAATGATAGGGCAATCAATGAAGTCGACAGAGTGTGAGTTAACGTCTTCTTCATTAATTACCTCCCCTTCATTTTGTTCATTTGTAATTGAACTTTTATCGTCTTCATTCTCGTATTTCATAATTGATATATCCTCGGGTTGAAAGGCTGGTTTACAATTTACATCTACGGGCAATGGAAGTTCTTTTCTTTCAAACTTCTCGAGTGGATTAAACCCCCACCTTTTAAATTTGATCTAGAATATGCCATCTCCCACGCACATTTTATTTTCATTTAACTTGACAAGCTCAGTGTAGTATTTTGCAAGTACCTTCTCGTTCAACATGCAAGGACCAACTCCCACAAACGTGTCTGAAGGGACACACTCGCCCACAGGCATGTAGTCTTCATTAGCATTGTCAAATATTAATATTCGACATCGCAAGTATTGTTGAAATCGCAAGAGCTTGAGTCTTCCCGGGTTAGTGCATGTATACAAGCAGTAGCTAGTATAATGCACTCCATAGCAGAACTCACAATATATATCTTCTTTCTCATTGTCCATGTCGAGATTAATTATTGCAAAAATAATTCTACTATATCAACGTCATAATCTTGCATATGCTACTGAACAGTACCTGGAAAGAATACCAAATAAGAGAGATCGAGGTGGGTATCTAAATTCACCCAAAAAAAAAATAATAATAATAAAGTGAAAAAAATCGAATCTAATATAAACTACTAAATTAAAATTAAATCCTTTATTACCCGGTAACGACGCCAAAAACTTGGTCGTGTGAAACCCGCAAGTGTACGGGATCGTTGTACAAGTAATAAAATTTGTGAGTTAAGAGTATCGTTCCCACGAGAAATAAGATCTAATATTTAGTTAAGTAACTTTTACTAAATTCGAAGTAATATAAAATCAAAATAGTTGTGATTTTTATGTTTTCTATGCTAATCTTAAATTAAGAAAGCAAATAAAATATTTATTTAATATGTGAATATTAGTATTGGAATCGTGAATCCCCCTATTGCCATTTAATTCAACTCTTAATTTATAATCTAGTAAATTCATGCATTCAAAACAATCGCTAATCCACTTTTATTCATATTAAACATATGTTTAACACGACCCGATCATATTCCTAATCTGAATTCATATGAAAAACATGTATTGATTCACAGAATTTATCACACATGATTGCACATGCCATAGATCTTATTTCTAACATCTATTGTCTATGTGTTGATTTTACCGTGTTCTAGACTTATTGTGAGTATTTCTACACTACAACAAGCAACTTACTATCTAATTGGTGATCAAACAATTAAATAGTTCAATGGGAATGCAAAACCAATCAAGAAAAAATCATGAAATACTAAATTAATTGTCTTGAATTAAAATAAACAAACGTTAGGGTTCATCATTCATCCAATATAATGAAAAACTAACCTAGCATATTAATATATAAATTACAAGAAGAATAATAAAAAAATATCACCTGCATCATGAAAGAATACAAAAGATGTTGATCTTCACGTCCAAAGTTGAATTCTTCAAAACTTGATATAATTGAATTTCAATTCTTTACTATGACTTGATCTTCTCTCTCAAAATATAGCAATTGGCCCGTTGTTCTTGATGGATTTGATGAAACTATTGTGTATGAAGAGGAAAGAGAGAGACCCTTTCATTGCTGTCCATATCTTGTATTTATTTGATGAAATTAGGTCAAAATTCACGTCCAAATTGTCTTCCAAAAGCGTTTGAATCAAATAAGGAAAGTTGTCTTCGCGCGCACATAATTTTGTCTATACACATCTTTCAGTATTTTAATCATAACTTTCTTTATTGGTGTCCGATTCAGGTGATTCAAAGTGCATTGGAAAGCTAATTAAAAGATCTACAATTCTTCTAGAAATACAATTTTTCCAATTCAAACGTTCTCCATCCGAAAAATGGGTCTCAAGTTGACTAAGAATCTTGAAAATATCCTATATGATTAGAAATCGATTTATGATAATATTCTAATCATATCCCTTTCCTTTTTGACTCCAATTTGCATTCAATTGACTTCTATCAATCTTCAAAGTATCTCTTGTGGTCCAAATCAACCATTAAATATTTACACTTTGGTCCCCATACTTTTAATTTGCTTCATTTATCTATTTTCCGTTCTTTTTTCCAATTCTTCTTTGAAATATGAGCTTTTCCCAATAAAAGTAATAAATAACAAATTGTGTACTAATCCATTCAAATAATAACAAAATATTATCATTTAAGATAAAAAAATAAGTGTAGAAACTACACTTATCAAACATGAACCTCTGATATATTCTCACAGTAGTAGTACTAAAAAAGGTTGAATCCCAACCTTGAGGGTCCTTAGTGTCCCATCCCTAGAGCTTTGTGAGGGAGCTAAATTGCGGGATGTGCTCCAACAGGTCAGGGAACAAGAGTTGTCTGTACACTGCGCCTGCAAGGAGTTCAATTCCATGTCTCAGAAATCGAACCCCTCATACTACGGCTGCGAGCAAGACATGAGATAATCTCACTCCTACCCTTTGCACCATTGGACTATGCCTCGACGGGCCACAGTAGTAGTACTAAATCTGCTGTATTCTGGGTTATGATGCAAACTAGTTCTATCATAACTTGATATTTTTTAAAATTCTTGTCTACGAACTCGTGATAACTCTTAATAGTAGAATTTCTATTTCTAGAAATTTCATATGCAGTTTTTAGCTTTCCAGTGGATGACCCAGCTTAAGAGATTCTATCTCGTTAATTGAAAACTGTGTCAAACTAGAAATGAAAGATCAATGTAAGAGGAATACAAAGGCTCGAGCTATGACCTTTTCTGACATCAAATCTTGCGGATGGTCTCATAGTCCTCTGCATCCTTGGAAACGTATGATGTGTCCAATTTTGATGGATTAGAAGCATTATAGAGCATGTTTAGCTAAGTTTAAAAATGTATGAGTTATTTTAAGCAACTTTTTGTTTGCTAGCATGTTTGGACGATATCCTCTTTTTTTTTTTTTCCTATCTTTTAAGATTAAAACAAACTTATTTACTAGCAGACTTATATTCGTAATACCATTCTATCATGGATGTTACATTTCCTTGATCCATTTTGATAATCATGTAAATCTTTGCCCGGTTTCAGTTGAAGATGCTCTGAAACATCCGTACCTAAACTCGCTCCACGACATCAGTGATGAGCCTACTTGTCCAACTCTGTTTTGCTTTGACTTCGAGCAGCATGCTGTTACCGAAGAACAGATGAAGGAGCTGATTTACAGGGAGTCTCTTGCATTCGATCCCCAGTATAGGCAAGTACGAAGAATCGTCTGACTCTAATGTTGTAATGATTTCATGTATATATGGTCCATCCCATACTGGAATGGCTTTGATCTGAAATTATCATGGTTAATTTGAAATCTTGTGAATTCTTGCCTGCTGCATTAGGCTTTGGAATTTAAGGTTAGATTATGGTGTTAAGCTTTGAATGTTTCTTCTATTTATTGAAGCATTGTTCTGAAAAATGACCTCAAAAATTGCAATCACTAATTTCTTGAATTACTTGGTTACAGTGCCAAAATATTCAATTGTGTATGCAGAGCTTTGTGAAATGGGTTACGTCGACCTGCTTGGTTTCGAAGTTACTCGATATGGCTCATCCTTTGGCCCGACATGGCCTCTAGTTTTCAAGCAGGTCGGTCCACTGCACAACCCGTGCCGAATTGGCCCGGGCTTAGTACCTCGCTGTCCCATGCTGTCCTAGTCATTATTATCATTTATTTTATTCTTTTTGTTGGGGTGGGGGGGGGGGGTACTTAGCATGGTTGTTGCACAATGCACATAAAAATGCATCTATCATTGAGGAATATGGATTATGGAATAATTCAAAAGCAAAAGATAGAATTCTTCTAGAGGAATATATTCACCACAGCTGGGATTACTTACTAGAACTTGCCCAACAAGTTTGAAAAGGTCTTGGCTTGCTAAGTGTTTTTTTCTTTATGCTAAAGCATAGATCAGGATGCTCTACTTTGTTGTTTATAAAGAATATATTTGATATGCAATACTATACATTACCACTATAAACATCATATTTTTTACGTCTTTTTAATTCTTAATTCTATCCAATATTTGCATCTAATCTATCATATATACCAAGCATCCCAAAAGAGTGTATCCACGAGGACAAGAATCTATGCTTCCACATTATTAAAACGCCAAGAACAACTTGAAAATGACCAGCATCAATTCCACTCCATATAAGAGATTCACAACACTTAAGAACCCATATCTCAAATAATCCTTACTTTCCATGGATCAATTAAGCTCTCTCTCTGCTGAAATAGAGACACTGAGCCATGTCTTGAGCCTCGTTGAGGCATTTCGTGCATTCGACTCTGACAACGATGGATCGATTGATGCTCAAGAGCTCAGGGGACTCCTGGGATCACTTGGCTACAACCCAAGTGAAGAAGATATCAATACGATGATGCAAGAAGCGAACACCAATAGGGATGGACTCCTAAGCATTTCTGAATTTCTTGAAATGAATACAAAGGATTTGGGACTAGGTGGTCTAAAAGATATTCTTAAAAGGGTTTTTGAAGAATTGGAATTTCAAGGGGAAGATTTAGTGACAGGAGAAGACCTCTATGAAGTTGTCGGGAATATTGGAACTGATCTTTCACAAGATGAATGTCACGAAATTATTGCAAGCATGGATGGAGATGGTGATGGGGTTATAAGTTTTGAGGACTTCAAACTTATTGTTAATTCACTTGATTAGAGTCTATGATATATATACTATTATATGTCTTTTTCTATATAAGAACTTGCAATAATTCTGTCAAATTATTTGACAGAAGTTTGTATAAGATGTTAGTTATTAACCCTAATAGTGTTCTTGTAATAGTCCTCTCATCATAGGATTGGTGATTGAGGGAAGTATTATTACATCTGATAGTTTAGAGGCAAAATCCACTTTGAATTTCATGCATAGGTAAATAGTATAAAACATCCATATTTTTCAATGTCATTGTGCAAAACGTCTTTATTTTTTATTTTTTTGACATTTTCGCTCATATTTTTACATTTTATTGCGCAAAAGGTCCATTTCATTCATTTTTCTAATAAAAAGATGATTTTACCCTCAAATAAAACAAAAAGAAAAGAAAAGATAAAAAACTAGTTGAAACAATAGTTCCAAATTTTCAAATAATTACAAATTAATCACAAATATATGATTAAAAATCAAAACAAAAAAACCAAAAATCATTCACTTCTTTCACATCTTCTTCCCCTTGGGCAGCGACAATTTTGATGCAAGATCAAGGGCCACCGCGAATTCTGAAACAGGCAATGGCAACTTTAGGCAGCCGGGGTCTTGACCGAATGAAAATTTGCAAATACTATCGAAAGAAAATCTTTGAAACACGTCTTGTAAATCAAGAACGCCATTTTCTTTATCAGCAACGGATGACAATAAAGGAATAAGCCTGTAATGAATTTCAGGGACTACAATCTCAAATGCATATGATTTTGCAGAAAAGAATACCTACTTCTAGACAATCCATTTTCCTCTGGAACTTCCATAAATGGCCATCAACGTTGAAAATCCCTCTCCCAAGAAGATCACCCAAAATGGCAGGAAATGTCTTGCCTTTTGGATAATTATCAAACCTTGTTTTTGAGCATATACTCAACATTTTCAGTATTGGTGGTGATAATATTTCCAAGAACATGAACACGAATTGTTCCGGTTTCCGATTTCTGCAGAAGATGAGAGTACCAATCATACAAATAACTGAATTCCAAGGACCACCTTGAATTGACAAGAGTAAGAAGATGAATGATTTTTGTTTTTTTAGTTTTGATTTTTAATTATACATTTGTGATTAATTTGTAATTTTTTGAAATTTTGGGACCGTTGTTGCAATTATTTCTTTATCTTTTCTTTTCTTTTTGTTTTATTTGAATAAGGGGTAAAATCATCTTTTTATTGGAAGAATTGATAAAAATGATCTTTTGCACAATAAAAAGTCAAAATAAGGGTGAAAATGCCAAAAAATAAAAGGTAGAGACGTTTTGCACAATGGTATTAAAAGGTCAAGATGTTTTTTTACCCAATTTGATACAGTATCATTTCTTTGTGAATTACTATACGAAGCAATGGTAGATAATCATTGTTCTCATAAAGTTGTTTTATACACTTTTGTATGTGCTTGTCGACGTGCAAATCCAGTCCAGTGGCCTATCCGACTCTGCACAAACCACGTCTTGAGGGTTTGTTCCGAGGCTTACAATTTTCGCACTCGACTGGCCTGCAAGAAAAAATGAAGTTTTTGTCATGCTTTTAGGCAGCCTAAACGGAGTTCTTAGCGTGTAATATGATATTTATTGATCGTATCATGACATTTATAAGGTAAGAATGACTTTGAATTTGATGGTTATCGTTTTTTGTGTATTCCCATTGTGTTTATTTATCAAAACTCAATTTTTATTATTCAAATTTTTTATGATGATGAAATATTACAAACGAGCAATTATTTATGTTATATTTGTTATTTAAAAATTAATTGTTAATACATGAATTGAAATACCTATTATAATTTTTATATACATAAATGGAAATAAATTTATTTATAATTTATAATAACTCTATATTCATGTAATTTAATATTTATCAAGTGAAAATTCATTAAGTCTAAATTAATGTGAATGTTAATTAATTGAGAATTAAGATCATGAAATTTATAAAATGACAATGATTTTATAGTACTTATTACATATTAAAAAACAAAAAGTAAGGTATTATTGAAATAATCGAATTGTAGAAGGGTTAAAATCATCCAAAAATGACTCTCACTTGATGCAATTTTAAATATATTATAGATGAGTGGTTAAAAAGTGGGAAAAAATATTGATTTACTTACATAATATTTTATCGTATAAATGTGTGATTGGAAATAAGTATATAGAAGAAAAGTTTGAAAATAATAATTGTCAGACATGGGCTTAATGTAACAATAGACTACCCAAGATCCATTGTTCAACTATTCGACTAGAAAACAAAAATAAAAATTCAAAATATTCTAATTTATTGAAATTATTGCTTTATTAACTCAATTAGTATTTATGATTAATGACATACCGAAGTCCTCCTAAATCTGCAAAGATTATTAAAACTTCAATTGAAAAGTTGGTTTACAAATCAAAGTGTTATTAATTTTGTCCGCCTACATAAATATCGCTCTTTACTAGATAATTATTTAATTAGATGATAATGTAATAAAAAAAAAAAATAGCACTTGCCTTTTTCAGATCAAAGATATATTTTTCAGAAGCTTCGACCCTAATTTTGATTCAATAACGACGACTCTTTACAATGATTTTAAAGTTATGACGGACATTTTCATTTTTATATATGGTGAGGAGTGTATCATGCTAATTAACGAGATTGTACATTTCTATTATACTTATTTGTAATTTTCTTTTATCTTTTGTAATGCCATATTATCTTGTGACATGAATATTACAAAAGTAGTAACTCATCAAGAAACTATCTTTGCAAAACAACTTTGAGGAGTGATTTAGTGGTCAAACTTTGGGTTTACTCCCTAATGATCACCAGTTCAAATCCCTTAGGAACACTAAGGTAAGTACTCTATTGTAAACTTCAGGGCTCGAACACCCACAGTCATAAAAAAAAAAAATAAAAAATAACTATCTTTGCAAAGCAAAAAAAAAAAAACAAATAATTATATATGATAAATTTTAAGTAGCGACATTCTGTCATTGTCTTTAATAACGGTAAGTTATGCAAATTATTTTAAAGATAAGTAGAATAATACGGTAGAGGAAGATTCATGATTAAGACGGAAACATGGATAATAATAAAGAGTCTTGTTTGTAACATACAAACGGATGTTTGCTTGAAATTTCACTCGAACGGACGTGATAATCATTTGGAGCCCACCAAATAAATATCGTAATCCACCAATAAATTAAAACACTGAAATATCTTATTAATCAAAAATCGAATAATAAAACTAAATTCTAAGAAAGTATATAAAGCCTCTATATTTATAGGCAAGATTATTCCCTAATCTTACTAATATAAGGTGTCTAAAATAAGGAAGCTAATAAAATCCCAATCTAATTAAAAATCCTATATTAATCAATAAAGAAATTATAATCCTAATTAAATAAAAGATAAAAATCCTATCACAACTAGACATATAAAAGATAAATACAACCAGAAAAAGATAGAGTTAAATACAAGTTTCTTAGTAAGAAATAATGTTTATCTTATTCCTTTCTTTTCCTAATTATTTTGGATTTTCTCATCCCATTGTCCCGTAATAATTTAAAAGCAATAATTTTCGTGCAATTGTATGGGCTGGATGAGTAGACAAAAAAATGAGACATGATAAAAAGGTAGGGAAGAGTTCATATCTCAGGTGTTAAGTTTACCCCAAATAAAAAATCAGATAGATACTTTTAAAATTCAAAAATCAAGGTTATATTTAATTAATTAAAATATTTATTAAATGAAGATAATAAAGTCACAATTACACGATTAATGATCACATATTCATAATTATAGGTCATAAATTTATTTATTGACCACATATCGTCAAATTAATTGATCACAAAATTATTTCGTGGTCAGAAATCAAAAATTTTGTAGATCAAATATTATTTCAAGGTCATAGGTCATTCAAATTACAAGTCACATTATATCTATGGGTTACATATGTCACAGTTAATCGGCCACAAATTATTTTTAGTCACAGACATATAATTTTTGGTCATGGATGCCTAATTGTCGACATATGCCTATTGTCGGTCACAGATGCCCCCACTCGTCACCGCCACGGCAACAATCACTACCAACATCATAATCAACAACACAACAATGGTTCGACACCACCGCTTCCAAAACCACCATCACCTCAGCAACATGAGCATCGCTACCCACTGCCACCATCATCATGAGCACCACTGTGCTGATAACACCACCACACCATCACGCCTACAACACACCACCACCGCACCACCCACAGCACACTACCACCAACACCATTTCCTCTATCTCTATTTACACCACCCCCACCAAAGAATCCACAAGCGTACCACCACCACTTAAAAAAAGGCCATAAAACATGCCGAAAAATCACACCAACACTGCAACACCACACCACAAACACCACTGCACATAACAACACCACAACACGGCCACCACTCCACCATATCTGAACCCGTCATGAAGCGAAGCCATTCACAGAGCTTTCATCACAAAACGACACCTCTTTAACCCAATCAGTGCCCGGAGGCATCGTGGCGAGTGCAGTCGCAGGCGCTGTTCTAAGCTGTGGCTCACAAAAATCGGAGCAAGACGTATCTCCGACGGCGTCTTCTTCCGGCTCATCTTCGCGCAGTAGCGACCTTCCTAGGCAAAGGTCACCGTCGCATCCCTTGCAGCCTCCGCCACTCTTCTTTGTAGCGGCGCCAGTGTCACAACGGCTTCGGCGCCGTTGGTGACTGATCTCCTATGGCGATTTGTTATAGAGAGAAGGAAGAGATTGTAGAGTGAGAAAGGAAGTGACGGCATTGAATTGGGGAATTGATTAAGGTTTTTAATTGAATTGATTGAATTAACTATATATAATACCTGATGTTTGCATAGATAAAGTTCATCCCTGAACTTTCAATTTGAACTTTTAAATGCTTGGTTCTATGTAATTTCCTCAGTATAGACAGTAAAATTGCAAATTTTTAGCGTAAATTTTATGAAATTCAAAACTGATAGCTAAAATCGATATGATAAATATTGTCTTGTTTTTATGTCAAAATTATACGCAGTGTATTTAATATTGTGAAAAATATGTTATTTATAACTTCTGTCAACGTCACTATTGTATTGACAACGGTTCACAATAGCAGGGAAAGACAACTATTGCTGCTTGATTTTCGTATATATTGTGTATATTTAAATGAATGTGGCAAAACTAGATATATATGTATTCAA